CCGTTTACGAGAATAGATTGCTGACTAGGCGTTTAATTGCCGAATCATCAGGGAAGATGAATTTGCCGAATCATCAGGGAAGATGAATTTGATGAAATTTTGCCGACCTGGAATACATGTCGTTGTGTATCTTTTCTAGCAACTCCGAACATCTGGGTGACACACTGTCAATCGGAATGGCTAATTTCTGCCTGTTGAAACGGATGACAACAGTGACCTGAAAAAAGCTGGCTGCCAAAATATATGAGAAAACTAAACGTTCCAGCTAAGCGCTACTCCTGTATATTTACTGAGGGGGTGATATGTTTGTTATGCACAAATTCAGAACATAAATCCACCATAGTCCAGGACACATTTGGGAAGTAAGCGTGAAATACAAAAAGATTTCACTGCTAGATATGTGGCAGTTAATCTGTCTGGCGGCAACAGGTTAAATGATGGCTTATGTTGCAAAGCTCAGAGTTTTATCACGCGTCCCTTGCTCATTTGAGTTCATAGAAATCGCTAAAGGTATTTGCACTTTCATGTCAATCATTTGCATCCGCTCGCCTCCTTGCTGAATTAATCGTCGCGTATATCAAAAGCACCACGGGAACTGTCTTAGTACCAGGTTCGAGCACGAGATGGCCCAGAACAGCACAGGGAATAATCCAAACCTGGAGTAAGAAATGTAAGAGAGAAGAAACTCGCAACTTTTGTCGAGTGCTCAAAGCTTCGTTTAACGTAGTTTTCCCAGATGAAAATGCCATATCATTTGGTGGAGAAGCCCTATAAAATTCCCAAAACGAACAATACATTAGGACTGCACTCGATCCCCGACGAACTGCTGTACAAAACAATTTCTCTTTTCAAAGCTTATGTATGCGTGCGAATAAGTTCTGAATAAACTCTGTAAATTACGATGAATTCAAATTTCCTAAGGCATTATTGGGAGAAGAAATCAAAACCGAACAACTATGAACTAATCTTCGCAACCTGATTAAAAGCCATATCGTGTTAGAACGTCTGAAGAAACAGAGCTCACTGTGGCTCCGATGAAAACTCCTGAAAAGCCACCACTTCTCAAAAGCTTCATCAAAGCTCTGCTACAGTGAGAAAACGCATGCTAATCAAGATTATTGCATAACTGTACAAATGAAGTACGGGGAAGGGCTGGTTAGTAAAACGAGCTAGCAGAGCTTCGCCTTCATATAACACCTAAGCTTCAGATGGATAACCGCCAGCCTACTCAAAGATTAGAAATAAGCTCAAATTTCCCGAGAGAATTTACTTCCCCCTCAACTGTACATTCGCCTCGACTCACCTGAGATTTTGCTAGATCCATTGGTCCAATTTCAAGTCTTATTGGAACGCCTTTCAATTCCCAGTGGTTGAATTTCCATCCCGGCGAATAGTTATCTCGTAGGTCGCTTTCAGCCCGGATGTTCGAATTTTTTAAATTTTTAGCAATTTCCTCCGCCTTCACAATGATTTTTTTCTTCGTTTCTTCATCCATTTGTGCTGTGATTCCAACCGGTATCACAATCACCTAAAAATATATTTCCAGCAAAAATGCTATATGAAGCAAAGTAACTCGAAGAAACCAGTACTATGTCTTACCAGTAATTTAAATTCCGTATTTAGCGACCAGCAAAAAAAGGTCAACTGCACGGCGTAGATAAGTAATGGTGGATCACTACGACTATAAGCAAGGCAGCTAACAGCAACTATTGGAAATTGTTCGGAGATGAATTATGTAGAGCTGGCAGCTGCCAGTTTACTACAGACACGGCTGAAGAGAAAGATTAAGGCTGTATTGCTAGGAACATGGAATATAAAGTAAACACTGTCTGTGAATAAAGTTAAGTTCCGGAAAATCATGTTCATGTTTTCTGAAAACAATTTTGTACAACGGCCAAAAAAAAAAAAGAAACTGCAAAAACAGCATTAAGAGACTTGAAGAGGCGCAACCCGGGGTGGCAGCACCAGTCCACTGTCATCACCATGTATCATTATCATCGCACCGATTGTCCTCGTTGTCATACCCCAACTATTTTGCCAGGCAAATGATCTTTTTCCAGTTTCAGGATCTTCGAAGGAAATATTGAACATTTTGGAAAAATTCTGTCCGAGATGATGAGATGTCGCGCCCTGAAATGTCCTGCTTAGTAACACAAATTGAAAATTATTCATTGCCTTTGATTGGCATTCTCCACAATTTAGAAAATGATACATATAGTATTACCAAGACCGTCCGGACAATCGGTGTGAGCCTCCCCTGTTAATGTTCTTAGTGGCATATCTCCATACACTGGACATGCTGTGCCAGGCTCTTCGATCCTGACATCTTGTATCTCAAGACATGTTCTCAAGTAACACTATTTAAATCACCTTTTTCAATCATTATTTTCAAAATGATCATACTTATAAGCTGGTGTGGCGCTACATCGGGATCTAGGAGTGACAGCACATAACGGACACGTTGAAACAGCTAAAGCGTACTGTGCCGGAGACCCACCAACTGGTAATTCCTTCAAGAAATAAAACGAAACTCAGCATCACCAACAGATGACACGCGGAGCATGTAGCACTGATGAAATGTTGCTAAATCTACAGATGAAGCAGACTGTAAATTATAGCTTATAAGTGCAGCTTACAGCTAAAATCGACACATAAATACTTCACTACTTATCAATCGTTTCAATATATCACACATTCGTGACATCAGTGTAGTAGTTGACAACCTCCTCGCGGCAATTTGCACAAAGATAAAAAATTTAACAAGAAAATGGACGAAATCGACAGAAACTCCTTGGTCCGACCCCTTCAATTTTATGAGTTGAAAACGGACATACCTGAATGCCTCGCCCATTGACTGGAACGAATGCTTCAACGGTTGTTGTAAAATCACCACCAGCAAATTTCTCTTTTTCCGATTTACGGCCTTTGGTGACTGGTATAGCCAGAAGATCAGTGTAAACTTTAGCATACAAATCGAGAATTGTAAACACTTCCTCCTCAGCTTCTGCCGCCGTTTGGAACGCTGTATGCCCCTCCTGCCACAAGAACTCGCGTGTCCTCAGAAATGGAGTCGGGTGTTTGAATTCCCAGCGCTAAAATTGGAACGGATTAGTTCACTGGTGCAAAGTACCGTACAAAACAAAAACAACAAAGAATATAAAAGTGCAAAATATTACTAAAGCACAGGATGGTAAAGCAGTTATCCCATATGGATTCCAATTTAAACACGAAGGGTAAGAAGATGCACCTGGAAAATCAACTCCGCAGAACGATGGTCGGTTAGGTACAGTCCGCGGTGATGCTCTTAAGAAACAGACGCCTTCTCGAAGGAAAAATCTTTGTTTGGCGTTACAGTTATTATGCGTTTTGTGCTGTGTAACAGCAGTACAAAACGCATATTGTCATGGGGCTGTGTGTGTGTATGTGTGTCCCACATTTTGTCCCGCACTTTCAACTCGGGAACCACAAAAGCTAGGTGGCTGAAATTTTAGCATAAAAAATTTTATCTTGGTCAAAAACTCCATCCTATTACTCTTCTTTTGACTCTCAAAATTCTCCTCTTTCCAACTAGTGCATTTTTACCAAACAGAAAATACGCATCGAAAGCGAGTTGATTTTTCACAATTCACTAAGAATCCAGGCCAACAGAGTTTTCGCAAATGCACTAATCAAATTTAGCCATCAGTTCATGTTTCTTTCATATTGAAAAAGTAAAATCAAAGATCGGGACATCGCTAGGCAAAGCATACCACAACATTGCACCACTGATTCAGTCGAATTGGCAGATCACGATGAGACTGCACCCATTTCGCATAGCTTGGATACATCACCGTCTCACTTGTTGGACGTATTGCAATCGGTTCGCTCAACTCCGAACTACCAGCTCGAGTTACCCACGCCACCTGCAGTCAACATGTGCAGTTAACAAAAGTCACAGAAAAAAGAAACAGACTGAGTTTTCAGGAAGCAACTTTTTTGTAAATAAGAAATGCACACATATTCTAATAAAAAGCTGCGCGCCCCAGAGCAGCCTGTGCAACGTTTTTAACTATTTTACATTTTCGTGTGCGCAAAAGTTTAACTATTTTCTAAAAATTTAACTATTTTATATTTTCGTGTGCGCAAAAGTAGCCGCTATGCTGACTGGTTTCTAAGTTGAGGAATTTCCCACCGGTACGTGAAAGCTGAGTTTGAAACATCGACGGGGAACACCTTTCCAAATTTCAACCTACTAGTTTTTCGGCTTGCAAACTAATGACTTCGGCACCAAAACTCTCACGTGGCCGTAAGTGATACGCCGGCATAACTGGGAGTCAAGTGTGAGTTTGTGAAATTTTTGCATAGGCAGAACACATCCTCCTGGAGCAGCTCTTCTAATTCCCGAGACAGTAATTTTTCCCACCGAAATTTTTGCGAGGCCATACAAGAGACCCAGGCTTAACAGAAAGCTGAATTTGAATGCCTCGTGTAAGCAGGAAACATTTTCGTCAAATTTCAGCTGCCCCGCTTCCGTGCTCCTGAAATAATGATTTTCCTCGCCAAAACTTTCGCAGGGCGGTACGTAACACTCATGCGCACGAGAAGGCTGAATTTAAATTTTTGCGTCATAAGTCGGTGAGGAACATTTTACTAGAATTATAACCTCTTAGGCTTTTGTCACTCCCGAGTTGAAAGTGCGGGACAAAATGCATCTGGACACACACACGCACACGCACACACACACACACACACACACACACACACACACATACAGACAAGTGCACGGCAGTATGTGAAACGCATAAAAATGCAAAATTACCCAAGTCTGGGGAAAGGAAATGAGCGTCAGAACTATTAGCAAGCTGAGCACCAGGCGATACTGCACGATCAAAGCAACTAGAAGAACTATTATTGCACAGCTGGATAAGCACTCCCTAATACCCCAGGATTATAATTCATCCGGCCCTATTCATATAAGCTTGTATGCTTTATACTGTTGCTTACATTTCATTGTTACTATAATACATTAATTTCCTGTACTTTAGACACTTCCTGATCTAGTCCGATAAGTCAAATACTTTTCAGAATAATCGCATTTTTTAAGTATTTCTGGTTTTTGTTGGCACTCCTCTAACGAGTGCCAACAAAAACCGCTTTAATCTGAAGCTATATTAAATAATCGTCCTTGTCATTTCTATCGATTCCTTCCTAAAATCGAAAAAAAAGTCGAAGTTAAACCAAAACAAACCTCAGGCGCAAAATCAGCAATATGCTTCTTCTCCTTTTCCAGTGCATTTTGTGAGACAAACATTGGAAAGTAACAATTGCGTACGCCCAGTTTTTTGATCTCCCTATCAAAAAAATTCTTGATAATTTCCCAGATTCCAAATGACCAAGGGCGCAAAACATAACAACCTGAGACGTCATAATATTCGATCAGATCCGCTTTTGTTATTACCTAAACACTGTCAAAATTTTAGACAAAAATTAAATTAAAGCATCACTTCCTCAGATTTTTCGCTTCGCACTCTATTTTGTTGACCCCCACTGATAACGGAAGCAGAGTTATCCTTTAAAGCAAAATATGGAAAAGAAAAAAACTCTAAAAAATCTGCATATTTAGGAAAGTAAAGCCGACACGAGTCCCGTTGTATGTACTAGCCGGAAACACGTCGCTCTGAACTGAAGCGCCTATTATAACACAGCTGTGCTCAGCGTGTGGATGCACCCTAGTAACATCACTAATACCGCCTCGACTGTTCTCACGGTCCTGTTATTTTTCGGACACAAAAAGACCCGAAGAAAATTACCTGTGTGTACCAATCCGCAACATTTTCCTGCTTTTTTACATCAAGGCCCAACTTCGTTTGTTTCTTGACTTCAGGTGTATTTGTGAGTGTTGCAATTTCCGGCTCCGATTTTTCGACTTTCGATTTCTTGTGGCCTGCTTTTTTGTTTTTTTCCGTAGAAACCGTTGTAGCATCCTCAAAATACACGCAAAATCAGTGACAATTTTGAAAAAAAAAAAAAGAAAACAGAATACTGAAAAATAGAACATTAAAAAATCGTATTTTCATAAGCAATGTGAAGGTCATGAACAAACACAGGTCGAAGTCGCATGCAGATTAATACAAGATATATTAGATGTAAGTTTACACTGCGATAAAGAAAACTGCACAGAATGTGTAAACAATTACCGTCTATCCTTTAAATTCACTCAATCTGTGCGGAAATTAGAGTCTGCTTCCTTTCATTCATAAAGCTCAGCCTATTTAGTGTGCCTCCAACTGCTCTGCACTTGGCTTACTTTCAAAAAAGTTCGTTCTGAATTCAAAAATATCCGTTTGATAATGACTTTAAGCGCACTTCAATAAAAAATAAATAGTGGCGTGCACCAGGGCAGCCAGCTGATCATGGGTTTTTGCGCAGTTTCATCCAGTGGACGTCTACCTGCTAGGGATTTTCACTGTTCTACACTATAGTCTGTGCAAAAATAATTGCGCTTTTTGCAGCAATGCAATGCGAAAAACGCATATTGACGAGAGGTTGTCTGTGTGTGCGCAGGGCCTCTGTACCGATT